TTCAATAGTGTAGAAGTATTTGAAAAATAATGTTAACCTCAAAGATGTTAAAATTTGAGGTGTGCATGAATACTTTTTATCATTTGTTTTCTTTTTAATAAAAATAATCCATATGCTATGCAATAAACATTGCACTGGGGATCGTATATAATTTTTTTGCCATTTATCCTTCGTGGTATAAACATGTATATGAAAATTATTTAAACCTTTTTATCAATTAATATCTTAAAGGCCATCAATTTAATCGGCATCAATTTCTTACTCTGTATATAATATTCTTTAAATTTTTTACTCAGTTATTACGTGGCGTTGACATGTTAAAGTTTTGCCAAATAGGCATGCCAAATGTCGAATTGCTGTAAACCGGAGTCTCTTTTATTATATGAAATGATTATTTAATTTAAATATTTTCCAATAAGGAAATAAAATATAAAAGTTTTTAAGCGCGATTATGCTGAGAAATCTGTGTTTAACAAATACGAAATTCAATTTCCATAAAATAAGTGTTTTTGTTAACTAATTCTTTAAATATTACTTGCTGACATGGCATGCTGACATGTCAAAAATGTTATCTAATAAGCGTTCCACATGTCACAATCCTAGAAGCTGAACTCTCAAATTTTATATATAAAGATTTACTTTAGTCCTACTAATCTATCCCTTCTTAGAAAAAATTTGTTTTTTTTAATATGAGTTCCTTGTTTAAATACTCCGTATAATATATTATTAAATTTTAATATTTTTCAATAATGAAGTAAAATATAAAAGTTTTAAAACGCGATTATGTTGAGAAATCTGTGTTTAACAAATACGAAATTCAATTTCCATAAAAAAAGTGTTTTTGTTAACTAATTCTTTAAATATTACTTGCTGACATGACATGCTGACATATCAAAAAGTTGTCTAATAAGCGTTTCACATGTCACAATCCTAGAAGCTCAAGCCTCAAATTTTATACATAAAGATTTACTTTAGTCCTACTAATCTATCCCTTCTTGGAATAAATTTGTTTGTTTTCATTTATTTAAATATGAGTTCCTTGTTTAAATAATCCGTATCAAAATATATTATTAAATTTTAATATTTTCCAATAATGAAATAAAATATAAAAGTTTTTAAACATGATTATGCTGAGGAAATCTGTGTTTAACAAATACAAAATTCAATTTCCATAAAATAAGTGTTTTTGTTAACTAATTCTTTAAATATTACTTGCTGACACGGCTTGCTGACATGTCAAAAAAGTTTTCTAGTAAGCGTTCCACATGTCTCAATCCTAGAAACCCAACTCTCAAATTTTATATATAAAGATTTACTTTAGTCCTACTAATCTATCCCTTCTTGGAATAAGTTTGTTTTGATTTTTTAAATATGAGTTCCTTGTTTAAATACTACGTATCAAAATATATTACTCCCTCTGTCCCCCCGTTTTTGTCCACATTTGACTTTTGGAACTGTTCATCTAAGCACTTTGACTCATCAAATTTTCTCAATGTGTAAGCGTAAATATAGTCATGTGTGATCTTGCTTGATTTGTTTTAACATATAATTTATTAATATATAATTTCTATAATTTTTTAATATACAAATTACAAGATAAAATTGATTAAAGAACTACATTGGATGGTGTGTAAAAATGAAAGTGGACAAATACGCTGGGACGAAGAGAGTATTAAATTTTAATATTTTCCAATAATGAAGTAAAATATAAAAGTTTTAAAACGCGATTATGCTGAGAAATCTGTGTTTAACAAATACGAAATTCAATTTCCATAAAATAAATGTTTTTGTTAACTAATTCTTTAAATATTTCTTGCTGACATGTCAAAAAAGTTGTCTAATAAGCGTTCCACATGTCACAATCCTAGAAGCACAACTCTCAAATTTTATATATAAAGATTAAAATTAGTCCAAATATTCAAAATCCAATAAATTCAGTCCATCTACTATCTTTGAGAATTTTACTAGAATAGGAATAAAAGACATCCATATTCCACAAAGAGGACTAATTAAGTTTTTTTCAATCAATAAGACTTACTCCCTCCGTCCGGATTTTAAGTTCTCAGTCTACTCTTTTTTTCGTCTGGAAATAAAGTTCCCAGTCTACGTTTTTATACCCACTCTTCCTAAAATACCCTTTATCTCCCCTCTTTTTTCCCGTTTCTTTCTTCTTTTTCTTCTTTCTCTCTGTTCCTTTCTCCGCCACTCTCTCTCTTCCCCCTCCCCCCTTCTTTTCTTCTCCTGGTTTCTTCTTCTTTCTCCTCCTCCTCCTTTTTTCTCCCCTTTCTTTTCTCGACTAGATCTAGCTATCATCTTCCCTCTCCCCCCTTTCCCCTTCTCCTCTTTTTCTTCTTCTCATTCTTTTTCTCAAAGCCCCTTATTTTTTTCAGATCTGGAAGAACGCAAGTTGCCCTGTTGTTCTTCGATCCTGCGCATATCAGAGAAGAGGATTCAATTGAAGTTGTGCAGAGGAGACAATTCAAGTCCATACTCCATTTGAGCAGAGGAGTTAATTCTTGATCCCAATTAAAGTTGTGGAGAGGATTCAATTCTTGAAGCCCCTTGTTTGAGCAGAAACATCGATTGAAATTGTACCCTTCTTCGATCGTGCAGGTGTCCATTGTCTTTTGTTCCATAGAAATTCCATGGAAAAACGTAGGTGGAGTAAATTGAAATCGGATTTGTGCAGCAGAGAAAGATAGGGGTATTTTGGACAAATTGTACACAAAGTCAAATTCCACTAAAAATGAGCAAAAGTCAAACCGGGAACTTTAAATCCGGACGGAGGGAGTATTTTTTATAGTTTCACCTTTACCTCTTTAAACCTATGGACTCCCATCACTTCTTATTTGGTTACTCCGTTACCATGCCATTTTATTTTAAAATTACTTTACTTAAATAAGAGATATATAATTACTCAATGATTTCTCATACAATTTAGATAATAATGGAATTATATTCCCTGTGGTTAGTTTATGTCTCACCGTTTTCTTTCTTTTGCATAATTAATTTTTAAATCTATTTATATGAAAATTAAGGTAGAATTAATGAATGATATTTATAAATTCAAATAAATGTAAAAAATCTACATAATAAGATGTAACAATAATATATTATTTTATTAAATCAACAAGGAGTATTAGACTGTAGTTTACACATATGTATAGGACGTGCTCACGAAACTGTATAACCTAACTTGATTCTTGTCATTGATCAAAAGCCACATTAAATAGTGGAGGAGGTACACTGTGAAGAGACTTTACGTGATAATCACAAGAATTACATGAATGAGAAACCAAAGAAACGGTTAGTATAGGAATAGAGAAAGGTGGAGTAAAGTTATTCCGATAATACTAATATAATTAATGATAACAATTAATATTAGTATTCATATGCCCCCGCAAGATTGGGGTGCCGTCAGAGACACCAAGCTTGGATCGAAGTCGCAGGAAAGTAGTGGATGACAGCAGTTTGGTGAGAAGATCTGCGGTCTGATCGCCGGAGGAAATATGACGAACATGGAGCCGTCCTGATGCAACTAGTTCACGAACAAAAAAATAATCCAATGCTAAGTGCTTCATTCGAGAGTGAAAGACGGGATTTTTACAAACATAATTTGCACCCAAATTATCACAAAACAGTATGGGTGGCTTTGAAACACGTAACCCAAGATTGGTCAGAAGATGTTGAATCCACAGTGTTTCGGCTGTAGCATGGGCCAGAGCTCTGTACTCAGCTTCCGTAGAAGACCGTGACACTGTCTTTTGACGTGTAGACTTCCATGAAACAATGTTAGGGCCAAGATAGATAACATACGCAGTTGTGGCCCGTCCACCATCATGCACACCACCCCAATAAGAATCTGAGAAAACAGTGAGAGTAAGAGCAACATTACTGCGTAACTAAAGACCATGATGAAGTGTGCCCTTGAGATAGCGAAGAATACGTTTTGCAGCTTGCCAATGAGTCACAGTAGGAGCATGCATATACTGAGAAAGTTTGTTTACCGCAAATGCAACATCCGGGCGAGTGATAGCAAGATACTGAAGTGACCCAATAAGGCGCCTGTACTCTGTAGAATTTGCATGAGCGGTGCCGTCATTGAGAGAAATTGGCGACGTGGCACTCATAGGGGTAACAATAGGCTTGGCATCCAACATGTTATGGCTCTGAAGAATATCAGAAATATACTGCTTTTGAGAAAGAAACACGCCCCCAGAAACAGAAATTACCTCAACACCAAGAAAATGATGGAGAGGACCTAAATCTTTAAGTGAGAACTTGCGAGAAAGCCTGGAGACAAAGGCATTGATAACCGCAGGACTATTACCAGTTATGGTAATATCATCCACATAGACCAAAAAATATAAGATAACTGAAGAATGATTAAAGATAAACAAGGAAGCATCTGCAACTGACTTGCGGAACCCCACACTCTGAAGAAATATGGTAAGTTCAGTATACCATGCCCGAGGAGCCTGTTTCAACCCGTACAATGCCTTTTTCAGTTTGCAAACATAAGTTGGATTATTTTTGTCACGGTATCCAGAAGGTTGTTCCATATAAACATCCTCATGCAAAGTGCCATTCAAAAAAGCATTATTGACATCCAACTGTCGTAAGAGCCACCCACGAGAAAGAGCAACAATGAGAATGACATGAATAGTGACCAGCGTTGTTACTGGACTGAACGTTTCAGAGTAATCTCTCCCCGGTTGCTGAAGAAAGCCTTTTGCTACAAGATGGGCTTTATAGCGATCAATAGAGCCATCAGGCTTCCGTTTAACCCGAAAAATCCATTTGCATTGAATGGGTTGGTGTGCCGTCCGAGGAACAAGAGTCCATGTCCCATTGCGTTGAAGGGCAGTGAATTCTTCATCCATCGCAGCCTTCCACTTAGGTGATTGCATGGCATGGCGGACATTCATGGGCACCTTCGAATCTGCAAGGCTGCAAACATTGACAAGATTTTCATTAAAATAACGGGGATTAGGCTTTCTCTCTCTCACTGGTCGATGGGAAATAGAGGCAGGAAGAGAGTCAGTCGTAGTGGATAGAGGAACAGTGGGAGATGGTGATAGAGGAACAGTGGGAGATGGCGGAGTAATGGGTACAGAAACTGAATTCGGCTGGGCTGGGAAGGATGAATCAGGCACTAGATGTGGCTGGTTTGACGGCAAGACAGGGCAAGCAGTAGCACGAGATGGGGAATGGGTATGTTCTACAGGAGGCAGTTTATGAGCCGGATACACCGTGGGAACAAACCGAACATGACGAGAGGTGTAAATTTTCCCAGACACCGGGTCATATCATTTGGAAGTCGATTGAGAAAGTGAGGGGCCGAGAAAGATACATGGGGTGGACTTGGGGCTTAATTTAGTGGAGCGATATGGGCGTAGCCAATGATAACATAAACAACCAAATGGGTGAAGTTTGGAATAATCAGGAGAATTATGAAACAAACACTCATATGGGGAGAGATTATTGAGAATGGGGGTGGGAAGACGATTAATGAGATATACTGCCATTTGAAAGGCAAAGGGCCAAAAGCAAAGAGAGAGACCAGCAGTGTGGAGTAGAGAGAGACCAGTTTCAACAATATGTCGATGTCTACGTTCAGCTGTACCATTATGTTCAGAAGTGTGAGGAGGGGATGTAAAGTGAGAAATGCCATGCTGGTTAAAGAGTGGCACCAATTTAAGATATTCACCTCCATTATCCGAGAATATGGTTTTGATGGATAATTCAAAATAGTTTTCCACCAGACGTTTAAACTGGGGAAAAATAGTGAATGTATCGGATTTGTGTTTCATTGGATACCACCAGATATATTTAGTATAGTGGTCCACAAAAAGGAGATAGTAAAAATAACCATTAATAGAACACTGATTAGTACTCCATACATCTGTGTATAATAAATCGAGAGGACGAGTGCTGGTCAAATTATTGAAGGAGAATGGAAGCTTGTGACTTTTATTAATAAAACAAGACGAACAATGAAAATCAGATAGAGACGAAACATATTCGGACCCAACATGATCTCGTAATATAAGATGCAGAACATTTTTATTTGGATGGCCCAGACGGTGGTGTAAATCTTGAAGAGACGTAGTAGGAACTACAGTATGATTGGTTTGCGGTAGGGAGCAAACAGCTGAGGCAGCACACAAGGAGTAGAGATTATTTCTGGTGACTCCCTGATGGAGAGTCAACCCCGTTCGGACATCCTTGACAGTAAAATGACCGGAAAAAAATTCAACCGAAACATTGTTAGACTTGCATAACTTAGAAACAGAGATAATATTATTATGAAGGGCGGGAACACGTAAAACATTAGACAACATGAGGGATTTAGAAGGTGTGTAAAGACGTGTATGACCAGTGTGAGAGATAGGAAAAGTCGTACCGTTACCCAAATAAATCTCATCCGGACCACCATAGTCCTTGAAGGACTGGAGAGTGGATAAGTCCGAAGTGGCATGATGAGAGGCACCAGTGTCAAGCAACCACGAGGGATCAGACGAGCTGCCATTCATAGCAACATTGGCTTGCGGTTCAAGTGAAGTATGTTTCATGCAGCGATTATCCTTTAGAAACTTTTGGAGTTTACGACAAAATCTTGTGTTGTGCCCAGGATAATCACAGAAGTTACAATATCGACTTTGTCGCCCAAAATTGGAAGAGGCAGAACTGCTCCCATGTCCGCCTCGTCCACGCCGAGAAGCAGACCATTGAAGGACCCCTGTTGCCTAGAGCCACCATTGGGATGCGAAAACTGTTAGGGACATCATTGTGTAATCTCTTGTTAGATATTGTTAATTGTTGGCAGTATTTTTGACAACGCACAAGCACTAGGGTAGTTCAGTGTCTTTGTAGGTGTTATAGCATTGGTCATCCATCTTGTACGCATTACACACCAGGAGTAACAAGGGGACTGCACGACTACAAGACGAGGACTCAACTAGAGATGGATCGGCGACAAACTTCCTGCACTACACGACTTTGTGCAGGGCTGTTACACGGACGTGTGTATCTTGGACTGTAGCGCATAAGAGAGGTCTATTCCCAGAAGGTCAGGGTTTGCGGATACATATAAAAACACATATCGAGGCCTGAAGCAGTTACAGAGAAAAAAAGAGAGAAAAGATACACCAGTTCACGCACAATTCATAATCTTAGCGTGTGTGGTACATATCATGATATTGTTCATCTGATTCCTATACAAGCTGCATATGATTCATCATTATGTATCGGAAAGAACTTCCAGGAGTTGAGTACTGAGTTGACCTGGATATAAGGCTGTTCAATACGTCCTTGGAGGATACCTAGAGAGGGTGTAACAAGCCAGGGAGACGAGTGCAACAGAGTTGATCACTCGAGGTCTATAGTAAGCTTATTCAGTCAAAACCTTATCAGACATATTGTTGTTGATCTGTATAAACTTTACTATGATCTAGTGGAGGGCTGTTACACGGACGTGGGCCTCGCAGACGTAGGAGAATTTGCTCTGAACTGCGTTAACAAATTTGTGTCGTTTACTGCTTTATTCTCTGTGTGTGTTTGACTTTGTGTTTTAGCATATTCTCTGTCATCGGTTGAAACATGTGTATCTGCCTGTGAGATTCTGTGAGGTCTGCTTCTACGTATTTACAGGTGATATACATCTTAGAAATTTCAATTGGTATCAGAGCAGGAACAACTTAAGTCACTAGCTGTTGATCACATCATGGGAGATATGGAAGAGGGTGCAAATGTTCAAAGGCCACCATTGCTACGTGGTCATAACTACAATTTTTGGAAAGGCCGAATGAGAGCTTTCCTTAAATCTCTAGGAGGTGGTGTATGGAGAAGCGTGGAGACAGGTTGGACAGAACCACGAAAATACTCAGAAGATCTGACCACATCAACTATTAAGCCTTTTGAAGAGTACAGCAGAACAGAAGCCATTGCAGCAGAGTTCAACGACAAAGCCCTGAATGCAATTTTCGGAGCCGTTGACTCTACTCAGTACAAACTTATCTCAAACTGTGACAATGCCAAGGAAGCTTGGGATATTCTCGAAGTTACTCATGAAGGAGATGAGGAAGTAAAAACGGCCAAGTATCAAATTCTCATGACACAATACGAGAATTTACGCATGGATGATAAAGAAAAAATAATAGAATTTCATGGTAGAGTGAGAGATATCGCAAATCAGGCTGCACGTCTAAATGAATCCATCCCTGAAAACAAGCTGGTGCTCAAGGTATTGCGATCATTGCCAAAAGAATATGACATGGATGTCAAAGCAATCAGAAGGTCTCACAACATAAAAAATATGACTCTTGATGCACTCATGGGAATACTGGAGTCAATTGAGCTTGACATGATGGAAGACAGTAAGCGTCGGAAGCCAGATAAACAAATTGCTTTCTCCACCACAGAGGCAGAAGATGACAGTGAACATGATCTGTCACTAGATGAAGACTTTCAGGAACAACTGTCACTCTTCACACGCCAGTTCAAAAAACAATGGATGCAGAAGAAAGGAAATCAACGAATGGAGGGAACATCAAAGGGGCCTTTTCAGAAAGATACCAAGCCCAGAGAAGTTAAATACCCGGAAAATGTCACTTCCGTGAAGAAAAAGGGACCACAATGCTTTGAGTGCGGTGGATATGGACATATTCAGTCTGAATTCGCAAACAACCTGAAGAAAAAGAGACAGTCATTTACCGCAACCTGGAGTGATGAAGAAGTAGATGAGCTTGGTGATCACGGTGAGCAAAATTGTGCTTTCATTGCCTGTGAAAACTCAGATTTGGAAGACAGTCTTGCTGAACAACTTGAAGATCTACAAGAGAAGTGGGCAGAACTGCTGATGGTGAACAAACGGAATGTGGCAGACAAAAACAGGTTACTCTCTGAAATGGAAGCACTTAAGCAGAAGATTGAAGAATCAAAGCACAAGATCACCAAACTGGAAGGAGAAAACTCAAACTTGCGCTATGAAATTAATCAACTGAAGTCCTATCAGAAGTGGATTAAGGTGGCAGGAGCTGAGATGCTAGATCATCATTCACTTATGGCAAAGCCTCCAGGAGACATGACATGTATTGGGTTTACCAACACAGGAAGTACCTCAAAATCTCAAGAGATTAAGTTTGTCAAAGCACTTGAGAGAGCACCTCCTGAATACCAAGTCAAAAGAAGTCTTCTGAATGGCACTCATAACGATCACTACACCTCCTACAGATGCTACAGATGTAGAGAATGGGGACATGTAAAACGTCAGTGCATCAAGGAATGGAGTCAGCAGGTCACTTCAAAGAAGAAATTCAAACAGATTTGGATACCCAAACAATATGCCATGGTCGCAAATACATGTTATAGGGTTACTCCAGATCAGTGGCTTCTTGATAGTGGTTGTTCTCATCATATGACAGGTGACAAAGAAAATCTTATGGATCTGAAACCCAATGAACAAGGAAATGTCAGATTTGGTGGTGGAGAACAGGGTAAAATAGTAGGCAGCGGTACACTTAACGTAACAGGATTGCCACCTATTAAAAATGTGTGGCTAGTTCAGGGATTACAGGTGAATCTGCTAAGCATTAGTCAGATATGTGATCAAGGACTCGAAGCAGTTTTCACACAGCAAAAATCTAAAGTGAGAGATAAGAGCAAGCAGGTTGTGCTTGAAGGTGATAGAACTGCAGATAACTGTTACAAAGTAACACCAAATGTACTGTGCTTCTCTGCAAGTGAAAAGGATGCAAAGCTCTGGCACTATCGTCTTGGGCATCTCAACTACAAAGACCTGGTCACGCTATCAAATTCAGGAGCAGTCAGAGGATTACCATAGATAATCAAAACAAAGGAAGAAGTTTGCGGACCGTGCCAAAAAGGGAAACAGATACGGAAAACTCACCCTATTAAAACCTTTCAATCAACAAAGTATCCACTGGAGTTGTTACATATAGATCTGTTTGGCCCTATGAAAACCGAAAGCATGGGAGGTAAGAGATTCGTGCTCATGGTGGTTGATGATCTTACCAGATACACATGGGTGAGCTTCTTGAAACATAAGGATGATGCACTGGAAGCTTTTATCTCACTCTGCAACAAAATACAGAATGAAAAGCAGTCGAAAATAAAGCAGGTGATACGAGTCAGAAGTGATCACGGAGGAGAGTTTGACAGCCAACCTTTCAGTGAATACTATGAAAGTCAAGGCATCGCTCATGAGTTTTCAGCGCCAAAAACTCCACAGCAAAATGGAGTGGCAGAACGAAAAAACAGACATGTTCAAGAGATGGCCAGAACGATGCTTCACACGCAACAATTACCTGAGAGTCTATGGGCTGAAGCTGTTCACACAGCATGCTACACAATAAACCGTGTCTATATAAGGAGTGGAATACAAGCAACACCATATGAACTATGTACTTCGGGATCGAGAGCACAGAAGTAAGTTTGATGCTAAGAGTGATGAAGCCATATTCGTAGGATACTCACCGAACAGTAAGGCATTCAGAGTATACAACAAACGCACCAGAACAATAATGGAGTCAATTAATGTCATTGTGGATGACATGGCCATATCTAGAAATCTGAATGACAGAAAAGATGATGAAACACTTACTGAACAGCAGGTGGAAGATATCACTGCACAATCAGATTCAGAGGAGCAAAGAAACATAGAGCATCAAACAAGTTCACCTGAAGAACTTAGAGTGCCCACACATATCCAGAAAAGCCATCCCATTGAAAATATCATCGGAGATCCACAAGAAGGCATGTGCACCCGGAAAAAGAAGATTGATTTTGTTGAAATTATCAATGCGTTCTATACTTCCTCAATTGAACCAAAAAATGTGAAGGAGGCATTGACAGATGAAGCCTGGATAAATGCCATGCAAGAAGAGCTGGGGCAGTTTGAACGAAATCAGGTATGGGAACTGGTGCCAAAACCGGAGGGCGTAAACATCATTGGTACAAAATGGATTTATCGAAACAAGACTGATGAAGATGGCAAAGTAATTCGCAACAAAGCCAGACTAGTGGCACAAGGCTCAACCCAAGTGGAAGGGGTCGATTTTGAAGAGACCTTTGCACCTGTAGCCAGACTAGAGTCTATCCGAATACTTATCAGTATGGCTTGTGCATGGAATATGAAGTTATATCAAATGGATGTAAAGACAACCTTCTTAAATGGGTATCTCAAAGAGGAGGTTTATGTGTCACAGCCAAAGGGATTTGAAGACACAATGCATCCAACACATGTGTACAAACTGCGAAAGGCACTCTACGGCCTAAAACAGGCTCCAAGGGCCTGGTACGAGAGGTTAACATCATATCTGGTTGCCCAAGGCTATGCTAGAGGTGGAGCTGACAACACAATGTTCTACATCAGATACAATAATGATATCCTTGTAGCACAGATATATGTTGATGATATCATTTTCGGATCAACATCACATACGCATGTTGAAGACTTTGTAAAAGTTATGGAAAAAGAATTCGAGATGAGCATGATTGGAGAACTGACTTACTTTCTGGGACTACAAGTCAAACAAACAAATGAGGGTATATTCATTTCACAAACCAAATATGCACAGAATATGCTGAAGAAGTTTGAAATGAATAACAACAAAAGTGCTAGAACACCTTGTCCAACACATGAGAAGATCAGTAGAGACGATGATGGGAAAGACATTGATGCTACCTATTACAGAGGGATCATTGGAAGTCTCTTATACCTTACTGCAAGCAGGCCAGACATATGCTACAGTGTGGGGTTGTGTGCAAGGTATCAGGCTAAACCTAAAGAATCACATCTAAAGGCTGTGAAGAGAATACTGAAGTATGTCAAAGGCACGCACAACATGGGGATATGGTACTCTAAAGGTGCTCCAGCACATCTTCTAGCATATAGTGACGCAGACTGGGCTGGTAACATTGATGATCGCAAAAGCACTTCAGGAGGATGTTTTTATCTAGCAGGAAATCTGGTTGCATGGTTTAGCAAAAAGCAAAATTCTGTTTCTCTCTCCACAGCAGAAGCTGAATACATTGCTGCAGGCAGCTGTTGTGCACAACTCTTGTGGATGAAATCAATGTTAACCGACTATGGAATTAAGCACGATACTATTCCTCTTTACTGTGACAACACAAGTGCCATCAATATCTCAAAAAATCCTGTGCTACACTCTCGCACCAAAGACATTGATATCAAACACCACTTTATCCGAGAGTTAGTTGAAGGAAAAATTGTCACACTTGAATATGTTCCCACTGAGCACCAGTTAGCAGATATATTTACTAAAGCTCTAGATGGAGAAAGATTTGAAACTCTCAGATCCAGTTTGGGTCTGTGTGCACCATTCCAATAAGACATGCAAAATGGCGTTGAGCACAAAGTGTCAGCTAATGTGCTCAATATACCAATAACTGCTATAAAAAAAAGAGGGGGAGTGAGGAGGCACTGCAAACCGTAATTATTATTCTTTAAAAAGGGGAGAGATACACGGCCACCGAAGCGTCACTTGCAAAGAAACGGATCTCTAGATACACTTTCCCCTCCTCCATCATGATAGACTACCAAGAAACCCTAAATCAAGTTTAGCACCAAACTCTCTATCGCATTCAACAAAATGGTGAGAACCAAGATTGCCCTCCATAGACAGCGCATCAAAAGGTTACGTATCAAGAAGGAGCTGTGGGCAAGGAATAGCTGGCCTCGTCTGCTAGCCATGAAGAAGGAGAAACAATCTGATGAAAATCAGAAATCAACGACAAGCTGCAACGAAAAAGAAATTTCCCCTGATCATGTTCTGGGAAATTCAGAGGAACATGAAGATGTTGAAGGAAAAGATGATGTTGAAGATGATGTTCTGCTACGTCCTGTGGCTGAAATTTCAGGTACACTCTATCTGAAGCATACACCTGCACAACAGATAAATGACATGCAAATGGAGGAAGAAGATGATCCGGTGCAAGAAAAGGAAATTCCAGATCTCGTAGATGAGGAGCCACTCATTGCATGTTCAGATGTACCCTTTGAAGACTCACAACCCACAACTCCAGTGATCAAGAAGAAACAGGTGAAGAATTCTAGATACAGATGGTCCCTTCGTCAAAAGGCTAAAGAAGACCAAGAGGCTGAAAAAGCTGAAGAAATTCAAGCAAGAACAAGTCCAGAAAAGGGGGTGAAAAGGAAAGGGAAATCCAAGGATGAACTTGAAGAGTGTACAAAAAGGCTGAAAAGGTCACCCACTACCGAAAGGCTCACCACCAGGAGTCAAAGCAGCAAAAAGAAAGGTGCTAACGCTGAGAAATTACCAAAACCAGGGAAGTTTCCTAATCAAGTCTTTACCTCATCAACTGCTAGTTTCTTTATGTCTGAAATTGCAAAGAAATCCATTCTGCCCCAAAGAAGCATAGATGTTGATGATTTTGAAACTAAGACCAATCTAATTCCTGTGTTGAAACAATCCCACCTGCTCAAATCTGTCACCATACCTGGTTCATATGTGAGAAGAGTAATACATGAGTTTTATTGTAATCTGAATGAGAGCTGCAACACACCTTCCGACCCCTCCTTCCATAAGGTATTTGTGAGAGGCAAGACTTATGACCTATCCCCAGCTAAAATCAATAAGTTTTTGCACACAAAATCAATCTCCTCAGAGAAAAATGTGAATGAACGCCAAGTCTGGACAGATCTTACCAATGGTGAGCGAATATCTCAGACCTCCAAGTCCAAAGTCCCATCATCTATCCTAAAGAGTTCATATGCTATCCTATTCCGAGTTGCTGCTTATCAATGGCTTCCCACCACACATATGAACACAGTCCCTCTGTGCATGGACACTCTCATTTACAAGGTTAAACATGGCATTCCGTTTAATCTGGGAAAAATCATCTATGATCAGATCTTAAGCTTTGCATCTGAGAGAGCAAAATCCAACACAAATGGACTGCCTTATCCACTGCTTATTTTCCAATATCTTAAGTCACAGGGACTTAATGTTGCAGATGATGAAGAACCAGCACCTCCTCTGTTGCAGGTGGACATGAGGCACTTTGAAGGGAGGCATCACAATGATATGGTGATGGATGAAAGCCAGAGGACTGCTACTGCCTTTCTTGGATCAGACTTCTCTCAAACAGCATTTCTTAGAACAGAAATCCAACTGCTCCAAGAACAAATTGAAAGACACAAAGAACTGATCAAAGCAGCTGAAGTAAAGAAGAAGAAAATGGCCATCATACTCTCTTCTCTGGATGCAAAAACAGGTTCAACTGCACAGCCTCAGGGGGAGGACTCTAAGGAAGATACATCAGAAGAAGATGATGCTACTCAGGGGGAGCAAAGTGAAGGGAATGATAATCTTGCAGATGAGGATTCAGACTTTGAAGCTGAGCTCCACAAGTTTGATACTACTGATGATTAATTTCGGAAAAAAAAACATTTGTGTTGTTTTTGAAGACCTTGGTGATGTTATAGGGATTGTTCTGTCCCTATTTTTTTTTGTCTGGATTCTGAATGGTTGCTTACTGGCTCGTTTGTTTTGTTGCTGAACACACTTATCCAATTCTGCATTTGGTGGTTATGCTTTCCCAAGATATTATGCTTCTTTGGTTGTTCTCTTTGTTTACTCAGGTTGTTGTGCAAGTTGGATAATCTATTTTTTTTATTGATGTACACACTCTTGCACCCGGTTTCAGAATGTTACTCTTCTCTACAATTTCAATAAAATAGTTCGCCTCCCTTTGGCATTTTTTTTCCAAAAAGGGGAGAAGAGGTTCTGACCGGCTGAGTGTTTGTGTGCTTGTGTTTGTCAAAAATTGCCAAAGGGGGAGATTGTTAGGAACATCATTGTGTAATCTCTTGTTAGATACTGTTAATTGTTGGCAGTATTTTTGACAACGCACAAGCACTAGGGTAGTTCAGTGTCTTTGTAGGTGTTATAGCATTGGTCATCCATCTTGTACGCATTACACACCTGGAGTAACAAGGGGACTGCACGACTACAAGACGAGGACTCAACTAGAGATGGATCGGCGACAAACTTCCTGCACTACACGACTTTGTGCAGGGCTGTTACACGGACGTGTGTATCTTGGACTGTAGCGCATAAGAGAGGTCTATTCCCAGAAGGTCAGGGTTTGCGGATACATATAAAAACACATATCGAGGCCTGAAGCAGTTACAGAGAAAAGAAGACAGAAAAGATACACTAGTTCACGCACAATTCATAATCTTAGCGTGTGTGGTACATATCATGATATTGTTCATCTGATTCCTATACAAGCTGCATATGATTCATGATTATGTATCGGAAAGAACTTCCAGGAGTTGAGTACTGAGTTGACCTGGATATAAGAATGTTCAACACGTCCTTGGAGGATACCTAGAGAGGGTGTAACAAGCCAGGGAGACGAGTGCAACAGAGTTGATCACTCGAGGTCTATAGTAAGCTTATTCAGTCAAAACCTTATCAGACATATTGTTGTTGATCTGTATAAACTTTACTATGATCTAGTGGAGGGCTGTTACACGGACGTGGGCCTCGCAGACGTAGGAGAATTTGCTCCGAACTGCGTTAACAAATTTGTGTCGTTTACTGCTTTATTCTCTGTGTGTGTTTGACTTTGTGTTTTAGCATATTCTCTGTCATCGGTTGAAACGTGTGTATCTGCCTGTGAGATTCTGTGAGGTCTGCTTCTAGGTATTTACAGGTGATATACATCTTAGAAATTTCAAAAACCGCTGAGTATTATTCGCCGTAGGCAGAGTATCGGCAATAATGACCTCTTTTGTGAGCAACTGACGTTCACAGTCCTGCAGAATGACTCTAAGTTCTGAAATAGTGAGGCCGTCATTCCAACCCCGAAGAGATTGGTAGATCGAGGTGTACTCCTCAC